CTTTCTAGGGCCAATACAGGGAAACATGTACCTTGTGGTGATCGACTCCTTCTCCAAGTGGCCAGAAGTGATTAACTTTAAACAAGACACTAGAGCGTGCAAAGTAGTGCAAGTATTTGAAATGCTGTTCGCGAGACACGGGCTGTGCGAGCACCTAGTCACCGATAACGGCAAACAGCTGGCGAGCGCCGAATTCAATGAATTTTTAAAAAGAAACGGCGTACGCCACAGCTACTCGCCAACGTACTTCCCGGCGACAAACGGCGCCGCCGAAAACTTCGTCGGCACGTTTAAGGATAAAGTAAAAAAAATCATGAAAGGGGGGAAAACGGTAGACACAGCGGCCTACCAGTTCCTATTCGACTACCGCAGCGCTCCCCATTGTACTACAGGGAAATCCCCAGCACAACTGTTATACGGACGCGAAATGCGAACACGGTTTGACTTGCTACGACCCAGCACACGCACTAAAGTCGAAATTAAACAAGAAGCACAAACGACGGCTAAACCTCACTCGCGTAAACTCGACTTACAAGAGGACGACCCGGTGATGATCGATAATCATGGGAAATCGGGCGGAAAGCGAGTAAAAGGAAAAATCGCGAAACGGTTATCACCATCTACATATCGAGTGCAGACTGAGGAGGGCCGTGTAATAAAGCGCCACGCGAAGCAAATTGTTAACCCCATGCGGCGGTCAGAGCGTGTTACTCGAAGACAGCAAAATTAAAAAAGAGGAAGAATTGTAGTGTATGTGCGCACAGCGAACAGCGAATGTAGAGTGTGCGTGAGTATGTGCGCGAGCACAGAGTGTGTATGCGAGCGGCAGCCGCGTCGCCGGAGCGCTCCGGGTCCGCCGATGTAGCGCGAGACAGTAGTTCGTCGTAGCACGTCGTAAAGGCTTGACGAGTAATACTTTAACCTCTATCCACACACGTGTTACAATCATTCACCTGCTCCTCTGATCCCGCACCACATAACGATAACTTACAAATATTACACTTGTAATAAAAGAAAATAGACTTATTACTATCCTATAATGTAGAATACTATAATGTACAATAATACTATGAATATTATAAAGGTATTCGGTAATGTCCCCATGGCAGCGTTTCTGTAGAATCGGGCACGATGTATCGTTTGTCGTCGAACGGACTCAGAGCGATTTTCGTCTCGGCTATAGTGTACACCTCATGCAGTTCCGATCTTATACAAGTTTGTCGGCGAGTCATTTCTATCTCGTCTCGCAGACAATGCGTGTAATCGTCGAATGTTATCGTTGGCGCTACCACGTTGCTTTTGACACCTTTAAGTAGGGTAACTATAGGAGTTCTAACTCACTTTTGGAGGGGGAAACTGGGCGGTCCTAACCGCTAGGGGAGGGGGAACCGGGCGGGCCTAACCGCTAGGGGAGGGGTGGACCGGGCGGTCCTAACGGAGGGGGAGGGGGGGATACGGCGATCCTAACCGCGGGGGAAGGGATATGGCGGGCCTAACCGCTAGGGGAGGGGGAACCGGGCGGTCCTAACCGCGGAGGGGAGGGGGATACAGCGATCCTAACCGCGGGGGAAGGGATATGGCGGGCCTAACCGCGGGGGAGGGGGAACCGGACGGTCCTGGGGATACGGTGGTCCTAACCGCGGGGGAGGGGGATACGGCGATCCTTACCCTATGGGATCCTACGCGGCGGCTCTAACCGTGGTGCGGGGGAGGGGGGGATTTTCTATAGAGTAAACAGATTAGTGGAAGATTAAAATTCTTTACTGAAGTAAACAGAATAATGGGAGGATTGGGACTGGGCCCGACGGTGCGGCAGATTTTCTATAGAGTAAACAGATTAGTGGAGGATTAAAATTCTTTCCTGGAGTAAACTGAATAATGGGAGGATT